TGACAGATGACTGTTGGCATGTTGGATAGATGGTTGTTGACATGTGTGATAGATGGTTGTTGATATGTGTGATACATGGTTGTTGACATGTGGGATAGATGGCTGTGGACATGTTATAGATGGTTGTTGACATGTGTGACAGATGACTGTTGTCATGTTGGATAGATGGTTGTTGACATGTGTGATAGATGGTTGTTGACATGTGTGGATAGATGGTTGTTGACATGTTGGATAGATGGTTGTTGACATGTGGGATAGATGGTTGTTGACATGTTGGATAGATGGTTGTTGACATGTTGGATAGATGGTTGTTGACATGTTGGATAGATGGTTGTTGACATGTTGATGGATGATTGTTGACATGTGAGATAGATGGTTGTTGACATGTTGGATAGATGGTTGTTGACATGTTGGATAGATGGTTGTTGACATGTTGGATGGATGATTGTTGACATGTGGATAGATGGTTTTGACAAGTGGGTAGATGGTTGTTGACATGTGTGATTGATGGTTGTGCCATGTGTCACAGATGTATGTTTACATGTGGAATCATATGAAAGTAGGAATGAAACAAATTGTGAGAAGCCTCCTTCAATTTGTAGGACAGCTAAAATCATTAAGGATGTTGAAGCTTATGTTAAAATAGAGGGGATACCTGTTCCATGTGGTTCAGAGTGAGGTACGTGCACATGTGGTTGTCATGGATACAATGCACAAACTGAAAACGAGTTGGTCCCATGTAAACGAGAACGTTGGAATACAGTCATCCAGTCCCATGTAACTGTTATGATATTTTAACCAATGCCACAGATACGTCCAGCATGGCAAATACGGAACACTTCCTCGATACCTGTGTAGCAGAGCTATCAATATGTCTCTGTCACATGCCCATCCTAATCGAGATACATTCCAAATATGGGCAAGCAAATATACCATGAAATGGACTGAAGTTAACAGAAAGTAGTTGAGGCAAGTGAAATTGATACCATATGACACAAATACCATGTGTCACAAATTCACAAAGGATTTGCTTGAATTTTTTCCCAATCTCTAAGTCAACCAAGGGATTCTGTAAACCACGACATCTCTGTACTCCTCACGTCCAACTTCATTGCTATATCCATGCGGTATGTGCTACTGAACATGATGGCCATTGATGCATTGCATATACATACGTTCAGAACAAACTGTCACAGGTCAAAGCAAGTGCATCCTGAAGTTTCTTTAGTTTTACATGCATGACATCTATTGTAGAATTTTCCAGAAAGGCACTTATGCAAAGTGAGCACCATGAGCACCAGGCATGTTCCTCTTCTTGTCACCTGTTACTGTATGCATGTGAATCACACTGTGCTTGGCATGGTAAAGTCAAACCATGGCATTGACAATGATGTATGTTTTATATGTAAGCGCCATGTATATCGCGCGATGCTCTGCTATAGTTCAGTAAACATCAAATCACGGTACTTCCCACTCATTTCCAACGTGACCACTTTGACCACATCGTCTCAAAAAGGGGCGGTGGGGTAGCCTAGTGGTTAAAGCGTTGGCTCGTCACGCCGAAGACCCGGGTTCGATTCCCCACATGGGCACAATGTGTTAAGCCCATTTCTGGTGTCCCCCGCCGTGATGTTACTGGAATATTGCTAAAAGCGGCGTAAAACTAAGCTCAGTCAGTCAGTCAGTCAGTCGTCTCAAAAAGATTCAAGGTGACGCAAGTCTCTCCACAAGACTGTCTGACGAGCAATGTTTCAGTAGCCTTTGGCGTCTATATGTCGCAACATTTTAGTGCAATCGAGCATGTAATTCAATCGAGTTGAAGGAGTGCCATGCTACTCTTGCTCAATAGTGGTTACAACATTCATGACCTCGGTAAAGACTTGGAAACATAGATATGTACAGTGGGTACGGGGATCACATAGGTGACACAGATTCCCAATAGCATGTATCTTTCGATGAACTAATGTGTTTGGTTGTGGTCGTGACGGGAGCCACAGGAGCTGCAGGATAGGCTCACGGTGTCGCCAACAACTTGTATAATCCTTTATAAATAGTGATAGTGACCCTGAGATGTGTTAATATTCAGTGTATGAAATACGCCAAAAACCCAGCCAGACATCAGGGTTGGTAACTTAAAACTGTTACCAGCCCAAAATGGATTTAATCAGACCAGACACCAAGATATGGTGAATTTACTCAGATGTGTGGAACAGCTAAAAATTTACCATCGGGGTGGCCAACTGTAAATTTAGACCGTCCGTCAGAAATCTTCCCCGTCTCGGGCGATCGGACGGCCTTATTTCCTACACTGTATATATGCATTATGAAAATGATTTCGTCGTTTTTTGTTATTTTGGTACACATGCATATGCTGTGATAAATACGTATGTGTACAGAGACATCTGTATACAGGTACTGTAATGTCAGTGTCAGACCTCGACATAATAACAAGGATCTGTCATTTGTCTTGAGACAATGTTTTTGCTGTATAATTTTGCTTTCAATGCCCAGATCATGTAGTTCCTCCAAATGTCCTCTTCAAATGTACTTTGTTCAAGTTTTTTATCGGCAACTCATGTTGGTACCCACTAAGCAGCTGATTTTCGAAAACCGGAGTGTCGTCTGAAAAGAACAGTAATTTACTGTGTTGTAAAATAGAGATGGGCTTGTAACACAGATGTTACCTGGCAGCACGATATTCGTCACCCACATCCTTCACCGCAATAAGTGAGCGTCCCTAGTAACTATTTACACCATTCGTTGAAATATACACAGCTGACTATTGTGTCAGTTTACATAGTAGTCTTCGTGACGTGGGCCCCAACACTTTGCGGCGATATACTCCATGTAACAGTCTGTGGCATAGGTCAATATGAAGTGAGTTCAACCCATGGAGCTCCGGGTTAGAATTAGATCTTCTGCAACCCATCGTAAGAGGTGACAAACGGAATCGGGTTGTCCATGTCGTCGAACCCCATTTGCATAGATCGATGCTCATGCTGTCAATCACTGGCCTCTCTGACCCAGACTCGATTATTTACAGACCGCCATCAGATCCCGATCGTGTTGTGTAATAAGTATTTAGCCACAGTCACATTCATAAAGCAACAGATGGTCCATGTTAAAAGTGACCATTTACAAAATGTGATAACCTCAGACTGTCCAAGTAAACACTCTCTCTGTGTATTGAGTCAGTATATAGCAGTGATATAATAGGTATAACTAACAGCCTGTGTACTGATACTTTGCAAAACAATGTTAACTGGATTTCGCGTGTTGTTTTGTTTTTGAGAATGAGGCAAAATATTGTCACTGTATCTTTGAAGATGTGTTCTCTTTAACAAATAAACAAGACTGTATATGATAGTTCGTGAGTTCTGTAGATGTGAGAAGCTATGGTCGCACTGCTTAATGTGCAGATTATATCATTGATTTACCCTGAAGCCATCACTGACATGCACTGCCTGGTGAATTAAACACTGTCTCGTGAGGATGTATAAACACCGCGCCATATCTGGGATATTTTATGGGCGCTTGCTGGGACATCGTGATACATTTGGTGTGAGAGAAACAGCTGTAAGTGACACATAAGCTTGCTCATGCATCGAGCTAATTTCGTTTGTACAGCAAGTTAACGTTCTTTCAACGATTTTAGAATTATTAGGACATATTTTTTATCTTTGATAGAACTTGACCAGAAACCGTCCACGGGAAAAAATATTAGAATGTCTAATACATACATGCAGCAATTTGAGATATTTTGCATACAGATGGAAAGTTAGATATTAAAGCTTCCGAACTAAGAATGTTCCTGTGTACCAGTAACTGTCACGGGAAAACAGGATTATTTTGAGTAATCTGACAGGGACAATTTGGATCAGAAAAGGGACAGTTGATACGCACCTGCTGTAGACATTTAGAAAACAGACAATGTCTTCGTGCTTATATATCGAGACTAGTTCCAGTCATTCACTACATTTACCTGACGTTGTTTGTGCTGATTGCCTGAAGTCCTCGAGTTTCACCTGAAGCTCATTAGCATTTATCTATTATGCTGAGTCAGTACAAAAATATTTTGCCACACACACGTTACATCCTGATGAATAAAATCATTTATTTTCATTGACCAATTCTTCGGACATTCCTATTTTGCCTTTTACCCGAAATCTGTTTCGTTGGTTAACAAAAACATAATTTTAATGTGCAGGCATATCACATGCATTGATCAAGTTTTAAAATGTGAGAGAGTGAGTGAGTTTGGTTTTACACCGCTTTTAGTAATATTCCAGCAATATCACGGCGGGGGACACCAAATATTGGCTTAACACCTTGTGCCCATGTGGGGAATAGATCCCGAGTCGATCTCGATGTCGGGGCTGTTCGGAGACTTGGATGTACTTTTCTCAACTTTTTAACGACGATGGAGCATGCTAAACAGATTTGAAAGAGCGCCATACGACTTGTGTTAAACATTGTTCGATCAAACTTACAACCGTCAATGCCTAAGCAAAATTTTCAAAATGGGGGATATCATTTCCTAATTTGTGGCATCACAGATAAGAACGATGTCTGATATTAAGACATATATCCACATATCCCCGTTTCAAGCATACAACTAAATTTCGACGATACGGAACACGGGCGGTTTGTAATGTCGAGCGAGTGAGTGAATATGGTTTTGCGCCGCTTTTAGCAATATCACATCCGCAACACGATAAATGGGCTTTACGCATTGTACCCATGTGGGGAATCAAACACATGACGAGCAAACGCTAGAACCACTAGGCTACCCCACTGCCCAGGGGTTGATATTGTTATGGAGAGCACATATGTAGAGATTGTGATGACATATTGCTGGTGTGAAACGGATAACAATTACTAGTTATTTCTTTGCCCCCATTGTGTAACGAATGATTCTGACAAAGTGTTCCAGACGTACACTTTGCCCTATCTGCCCACAAAATATGTTTCTCCTGATAACATGAAGACATGAGACGTTATATGGATAACAACTACTTTATTCTATGTAACAACTTTCAAGGGCTACGTGTTGCCCTTCCGTCAGTAGAAAACAATGAGTTGTTGTTAACTATAAGTGTCCAAGGGGTCGCCTTCTGTCTCCGTAACTTCGGCTGACCTGCTCATTTGTGGGGCACGTGTGAGTAGGGGATAGATGTCCACGTGTTGACAAATGGACACAAGGCGTGATAATCCCTATACATAAGAAAGGACAGATGATGTCAGCAATTATAGAGGAGTGCACTGAACAGCTGCTTCTCCAAACTGTTCACTTCAGTCCTGACAAAGAGACTGACAACCTGGGCTGATGGATACCAAGCAATATCTGATGTACAGTTTGGATTCAGGAAAGGTCATTCTACTGTGGATGCGATCTTCGTCTTACAAGCCATTACACACAGGTTTATGAATACGAAAGAGAAATTATTTTGTTCATTTGTCGGTTTATATAAAGCCTTTGACAGCGTGTATAGGAATGGCTTACGGTGTAAATTATTTAAACACGGAATAAAAAGCACAATGTGGTCTATAATAAAATCCATTTGCTGTGAAGTTTGAATCATGTGTAATGTAAACTCAACCTTTTCCGAATTCATCAGTACTGGAGCTGGAATAAAACAAGGAGAAGTTACGTCCCCTTTGCTATTCTCATTTTTCATGGAGGACTTAGAACAGGAACTAAGAATTGCGACAATGATGCAATAATAATAGATTGTATCAATCTATTCCTGATTCTTTTTGCAGACGATATAGTACTTTTGTCTCGGACACCAAAAGGATTACAGAATCTATTAGATTCACTGTACAAGTATTGTGGCACATGGGGACTGTCTATAAATGCTGATAAAACTAAAATAATGATTTTCGAGAAAGGAAGGAAATCATCCACTCCACATCAATGGTCAATTGGACATAAACAATTTGAAAAGGTGAAAACTTTCAACTACTTAGGATGATATCATGATATCATCTAATTGTCAAACCAGTGTATGTCAAAAGCCATTAGCAGGCAAAGGATTAAAGGCCCTAAATAGTCTCTGTGCTAACATACGGAGAAGTGACTTTACAGCAAACCAAGCTGTATCCAGTACAATGAACTATGGATGTGAAGTCTGGGGAGTAGCATACGTCGGCGACATTGAGAGACTACACCTTAAGTGTATGCAAGAGAACAGTAAAAGTTCATTCAAAAGCTACTAAAGAAGCAGTCTACGGAGAATTAGGAAGATATCCTCTCTACATTAACAGATTTGTACGGGTTCCGTGGTACTTTTTCAAATTATCAAATACAAACAATAAAGTTTTGGGGTTAGCTTTTAAGATAATGGTGTAAAATTGTACTAAAGGTGCTAATAACTGGGCTTCTTTTGTGAAGGATGTACTATATAAACATGTTTTTGGTTTTGTGCGGCTGAATCCACATAGTGTAAACTCACAAAAAATTTGTAATGTATTTAGGCAGCGTTTGGTTGATGGGTTTTACAAAAATGGAAAAGTGATAAAATTGATAAAAGCACCAAACTTGCTGTATATTCAAATATTAAGTATAGTTTTTCCTATGAACAGTATCTTAACAATGTCCCTCGAAGTCTGTCCTGTTACATTACACGTTAAGAATATCATGTCATAGGTTAAATATAGAAGTTGGTAGACATTTACATTTAAATAGGGCATTGCGATCATGAGACTTTTGCGTTGAGCAAGGTATTCCAGCAATCGAAAATGAATATCATTTCATTTGTGTATGCCCTAAATATCATGTAAATAGAGTAAAATACATGACCAATTTTATTGGGAATGTCCATAAAGATTCAAATTTGTTCATTTGTTTCAAACCTCTAATAACATTTCTCAGTTGTATCTAGCTAAATTCATAAAGCAAAGCTTATATTAAAAGCTAATTTTGAAATGTCCTGCCTCCATAATCCGAATGTAAAATGTACTGTGTAACGATGACGAGGGGCTCTGTGAGCTCAACTCCTTATGAATAAACTTGTTCTGTTCTGTTCTGATAAATATTCTGTTTTTGTATCGAACTGAATTACCGTTTGAAGGTACCTGTACTGGCTAACATAATTACACAATGTGTTTACTGTACACAGATAATCGTGTAACAAGGAAGCCGGTGGTAACAAAGGGAGAGAAGACAAATACATACAACGTAGATATAGTGATGGGGCGGAGCCTGACTGCAAGGAACTCAGTATGTCAACAGGGGATGTAGAGACTGGCCACTGCTTTAACTTTGTCAATGGATTCGTTGACAATATAAACTAAGAGAAACAAATAAAGGATCACAGGAAAACTCAAGCGTTCCTTTATTACTTTCCAGTTTTCATCATCACAGCTATACAAAGCTGGTGACGATAACTGGAAAATATTAAAGGAACCTTTGAATTTCCTGTGACCCTTTATTTGTTTCTCTCAGTATATATAAAGGAACGCTTTACTTTTTCTGTAGTCTGTCATTTGTTTCTCTCAGTATATATGGATTTATTACGATTATCATCACTAAGCTCGAGCCACTATACAGTGTCACAGACACCGATGTAGTATACCATGGTGTCTGGTATTCTCGACAAGGAGCAGTGTTGAATGGTACAGAGTGATTCCTCAGTGGGGATCAGTGTACAGTGTTCCGTTTGTAGAACGGAGTGTTATCTGTGTAGGTATTCTAGGCTCTTCTCTGGCCATTGCTAACACTGGCAGTACGATGTACATCCGAATCATTTTGTTTGAGAAGGACCATCATGTCATTATTCATCGTCACAATCAGACTCTCTAAGCGCTTCTGTTGTCGTGTAAGCTCGTCGACGGATTTCTGAAACAAACACAGCGAAGCATGAGTGGCATTAATCGTAGCATTGGTTTTGTTTTGTTTTGGTTTTTTGGTTTTTTTTTTTTTGTTGGGGTTGTCGTGTCTTATGTCGTGTCTTTATGTGTCTTATTGACATATATCTTCTAAAAATGGCCTTGGAGTGGGGATATGCAGAGTTGGCAGAGGCGGAGAAGACAGTGTTGGTCGATATATCACTACAACTACAATGTTTTGTAGAACATTGTGACGCCAACGGTTTTTAAGTGGGTTTATTGTTAACTTTGGATGACAAATGTAAATAGGTGCTATTAAAAATATATATACTGAACAAAATAGAAACTTCACATTTGGAGAAATGAATCATATTGAATACGAAACCTCTTGCCCATCTACGTGTCCGGCGTCCTTATGTTGGGGCGATTCTGACGCAGGTAAACCGAAATAAACGTCTACGCTTGGCACAACTGCACCTGCAGATGGCTTAATGCGGGTATTGGCGTCAAGGAGTGGAAATCGATATCCCCTGACCTCAATCCCATCGAACGCGTCTGGGATGCTCTTCGGAGAAGTCATCGTGCCTTGAGACATCAATCCCAGAATATTCAGGAGCTGCGTATCATGTTGATACAGGAATGGTGCAGGTTCTCAAAGCTATGTTCATGGATGATAGGTAGTCAATGAGACAACGTTGCCTTGCTGTTGTGAATGCGAGAGGGGCATACGCGGTACTGAACAATCTCAACAGCCTGGTTCCCCGGGTCTGTTGCGCCTGCGCTAACGCTCTGTCAGTGTCAGAGCGTTAAGGCAGGCGCAGCAGACCACGGGAACCACGCTGCAATCTCAATTGCAGACAGTTAATCCCTGTGAAATCCAAGCATGATCCCATCGTGGTACTATTGCTTGTAGACGTGCACCAAGCGCACCTAAATGCCTAATCCTGTTTTAGCGTAAATCAGATTTATCCACTAGCAACACACTTGTTCTGTATGTGTATTGTTGGGGACATATAGTAACACATGTGAAGTTTTCTTTTGTTTAATATATGTGAAATTGGTAATAGATATATGACACTTATGAAAAATGTGTCTTAAATATGCTGCTGCGAACGGAGATCTGTATGAAATGTGATATTTGTCAAAAATGAAAAAAATGGAAATATTTGGCTCTCCATGCAACCATTTCTCAGTTTTCAAAACACATGAGCACAGAAACATTATTCAAAAAACTTACGACCATGTGTTAATTTAAAAATTGTAGTGTGCGAGCATTATCAGTGAGCAAGACATGTTTCTGCAAAGATGTAGAATTCACTAACCAATCCGGTAATATACACCCGAGATAGAACGCCACATGGTCATAATGCCCTGGTACCTTCAGTTATCACTGGTAACACTGAAAACAACATCTCGACAACATTGCTAGTAACTCTAAAACACAGGTTATCAAACTTCATCCAGGAGTCACCCGTGACCCATGTTTGGTGGTTCTTAAAAATGTACCCGAGAAGATCCGGGTTTGAATGAGCCTTCAGTAACCCATTCTTGTCGTAAGAGGCGACTAACGGGATCGGGTGGTCAGGCTCGCTGACTTGGTTGACACATGTCATCGGTTCCCAATTGCGCAGATCGGTGCTCATGCTGTTGGTCACTTGAATATCTGGTCCAGACTCGATTATTTAGAGACCTCTGCCATATAGCTGGGATATTGCTAAACTCACTCACTCACTCACTCATCCCGGAGTCAGTGAGTTAGTGAGTGTGCTTTAACGTGGATTGGAAGTGTATTATCTATTCGCAGTAGTAGAAGCTTCCGACTCACCAACACAGAGTTATCCTCCTTCTCGACTTTCTGGTTCCACCACCACATCGGTAAGTCCATTAACATTTTCCACGGCCAGAAAGGCTTGGTTTGCTTGATCTTGTTTCTCTTCTTGTACACCTTTGCTCTTATTTTGTTGTTCAAAACCTTCTCTACGTCCAGGACTAATTCAATCTGTTAGGGTGATCAATGACAAGGATTCATCCACTAACACCTGTTTCTTTTCATTAAAGCAGTAAACTAAACACTACAATCCAAACACTGAATTATTCGTGAAGATCCTGTTGACGTCATCTGTGGCATTAAACTATTCTGTCCGCAGGTGAGGGAGAAGCAATATATTTTACGTGGTCTATATTAATACATGTATATCCCCAAATAGTCTTGTTCCAAGGCTGTAATGAATGCTCAGTCCATGAATGTATAGTAATTCTATCCTTCAAAGAGGCAAGTCTAGACAAGCGGACAGTGTAGTCTAAAGACCCCAGTCTGTTATGTATTATTTTTTAGAAATTATCATTTAGACTATGAATTTTTATCTTAGAGACTTGTGCAAGTCTAATCCCCCAAAACACGTGAGCAGTTGGGGAGTCCGGTGGGGAAAGTGTAAGGCGAAAACATAGGACACCAGGCCTTAATTCTTACCTCCACTGCCATGATATTACAATATCATCTTAAGCGTGGTAAATTTCACTAGTCCACCAAAACAGAAGACCTTGATTTTTTCATCTCGTCATCAGTAAGTTACTTACATGTAATGCTGTCTGCTTGAAGGCTGCTCGTCGTAGGATTCCCTTAATATCATCAACAGCCAGACCGACCTAGACACATTGAAAATGTGCATGACCGAGTAAAAGGTTGATACCGCTGTGTCCTGGTACCATTATCCAGCAAATGAAAATAATTCCTTTGTAGAACTAATTCAGATTATGCTCCAATATGTTGTTTTCAAGTTCTACCACATTTTATCGCCTATCCGTAAACTCCACTGAACGAGCAGCTAAAAAAACCAGCTGGTATAAAATATATGTGTTTGTAATCCCAGCCCTCATTGGCTACTTCATGGTAATGACCTGAGGTCAGATTGTGAAGGAATGTGTTCCTAATTAACTGATATGTTTCTCGTGTTTCAGTCGAATTAAGTTGAATCTGTTATGAAATCTTCATTATGTTATGTTTAATACATAAATGTTCTTTGTTCGTATCTGGTTAGCATCACACCACACTTGTAGCTGCGACCTTGTTGTAGAGGGTCACGATAGATATTAGCATTAGGCTGGAAACAAGAAGATGTCATTTACGAGCGCTACTATACACTGCCATCTGCGGTTCTGAAATGATGCGATTTTAGGATGTGTTAGCAACAAATTACTGCACTTATACCTGTCATTTGACATTCATCTCACTATGCTGTGTTTAATGTATCGCTCTACAAACACTATCCGACCCTCGTGTAGCAATCTCTATTGTCATATCACAAGTGTGTTTCAAAAGATAAATTTCAAAATGTTTTTTATAGGTTCTCATAAATAAGAACTACAAGGTACTACAAATATACAAACGATCTTGTGAAATCCTTCCAGAAACTGTGAAGACAGAAACTGGTTGCATCACTGTATTGAAGCTGCCTGCTTTCTTAAAGGGACCATCGTGAGCGACTGAAGATGTACATTAACATGCAACATCCACATTACTAAAAGACCCGTGAAGACCCTGCCTGCTTTCCTAAAGGGACCATTCTGAGCGACTGAAGATGTACATTAACATGAGTATTCACATGCCTAAAAGACCAGTGAACATCCGGGTTACAATTGGTCTTCAGCAACCCATGCTTGTCGTAAAATGCGATTAACGGATGGTCAAGCTCGCTGACTTGGTTGACACATGCCATCGTATCCCAATCCCACTGAATTGTCTGGTCTAGATTTTTTTCAGACCACCGTCATATAGCTGGAATATTGCTGAGTGCGGCGTTAAACAACAAACCAACCAACCAACATACCTAAAGAGTACGTAATGGTACAGTTGGGTCGTGAATACTTAGTCACTCACTAACTGCGTACATTCATGTGGATAATATCATCAACAGAGTGACTTACCAGTAAGTTCATCAAGACAATACAGGCCAATGTGAGGAAGGTGGTGAAGAGAACGGACGTTGCTGCTGGATACAGCAAGTTGGTGGTGTCTGTTGAAGTGGCGTCAGTGAGACCAGCATGGAAGATGTCACTATAATCCATCTCCCCAATAAACATGACGGATGTTTTCAAGATGGAGTTGGCCACGTCTCTAAATGGAATCTATTCACAGAAGGAAGGAACGAATGGCAACTCAGTAATTCCAGTCATGTACTTGTTTTGAAGGGTGAGAGGAGGTATCAAAGGAAAAACTACATACCTGATTTTGTAACAAAATGTGGAATCCGAGGCTGAAAGCCAGTATGAGTGAGAAGAAGACCACAAAGACCTTGAGGAAAGTCCAGCAGACCAGCTGGAACATGACGACATACAGACCAAGGGACGTGAAGGCCTTGAGGTACAGCACCAGGTCAATCCAGGAAAAGAAAACAGCAAAAGCGCCCAGAGACCACTGCCATGGCTGTAGAAAAATCATTATTTAACTTAGATTCCAATCTAATAGGTATGTTCAACACACCCCGGTGTTAAAAATCTGAACCAATTCAATAAATTCTTACCGTAAAACTCTACTCCATACTAGCAAAACGATTACAACAAGCAAGAAATTTCAGGCTGGATGTTTCTGACCTCCACAAAAATGATCGATAAGACCCTGACTATGATACAGAATGTCGATCTACATGAGTCAATACGTTATTACATGTGACTAGAACTGCTACAGATGGTCTGACCTGTCTGTAGCCTGTGTTTGATGTGCAGTCAGTGAACTCCAGCAGAAGGAGAAACGTGCAGATGTAGGCCACCCACTCAGCGTAATTTTCCAGATCGTACAAATATGCTGTCCTCACATTGTACATCTGCAGTACCTGGAACAAACTTTTGCTCATACTTGTGTGTCTCTTGTCGACCAACTGCTTCCTTGTTCTGCCCCGAAAGCAGCAGGTCGGTGCATTGGTCCACATCACGTTTCAAGATCCTACTTTTCGTAACCTTACCTTGCGTTCAACATTATGAGAATCAAACAACTGACTAGGTCGGTTTATGAGAAGGTAGCTCTTATTGCGTAGTTTGAGAGTGCTCGAGGATGATTTACGGTTTGATTTTATAGCCGCTTCATTAATATCTTCTGCCGCATCGTTTCGCGTTTTATCTGTCATCATCATCTGAAATCCTGTTTTAGAGTTATTACTTTTGTAGAATTGAATTACTCTCATGGAGCCAAAAGAAAGTAGAAAGATCTAATATTTGGTGTTAACCTGTGCGAAAATGTCCAAAAGATGTTTTGATGTACATAAAGGGATGAATATGCGTTTGTGATTATTAAACTTGTTTGTTATTTTTCGTTTGTTTATTGTTTTACGCCGCATTCAGGAATGTTCTAGCAAATGACGGCGGTCTGTAAGTATTCGAGTCTGGAACAGATAATCCAGTGATTGACATCATGAGCATCGATCTACGCAACTGGCCATGGATTTGATGACATGTGTCCAACAGTCAGCGAGGCTTACAAACCTGACCCAGTTAGTCGCCTCTTTCGACAAGCATGGGTTGCTGAAGACTCACCCTGGTCTTCAGGGATCGTTTTGGTTAAGCATTCCTTTCTATAAGTATGACCTTGACATATATGCAGTGTGCAGGAAGAGTGCCAAAGACTTAACCATACCAAAGGGGAACAGCAATAGGCATGTAGCAAAGAAGATTATCACCTCATATTGTTGTCAGGCAACTTAACTATCTGAAAGGCCAAGGCAGTAGGCATGTTGCAAAGAAGATTGTCACCTCATATTGTTGTCAGGCAACTTAACCATCTGAAAGGCCAAGGCAGTAGGCATGTTGCAAAGAAGATTGTCACCTCATATTGTTGTCAGGCAACTTAACCATCTGAAAGGCCAAGGCAGTAGGCATGTTGCAAACAAGATTGTCACCTCATATTGTTGTCAGGCAACTTAACCATCTGAAAGGCCAAGGCAGTAGGCATGTTGCAAACAAGATTGTCACCTCATGTTGTGACAATGTAAGCAAGATACAGACAGACGAACAGCATCCGTCATCATGTCAGATGCTGACAATGGTGTCGAGGAGCATCCGTACAAAAAGAGACATATTGATACCTCCAGTAAATGCAACACCAAATCCCTGTCTCAAATATTAACCATTATCTTTAAAACTATCAAGAAGGACTTTCTCGATATACGCAGAAAGCATTTGAAACAAGCGGACTTAATACCTAGTGGATTCTAAAAGTAATAGAAAAGGATTTACTTGAACCATTAGGTCTCAGGAACGATCTCAGAGTTCAGTTGTATCAAAACATTAGATTTTTCAAATTGTACACCACTACCCCAAATGACAAACGTACAGGGGTTGAGGGTGGTCGGTGAAGGGAAGATATACTTATATCTAGCTTCAGAGGTGAAGGACGTGTCCTTTAAAGTTTACTGAGACCATAATGCGTGAGAAGTTGGACTACCTCACTGATAACATTTATGTCAAATTTTGACAAGAATTGTGCATCCTCGTAGGCACAAACTGCTACACTCGGACTGTCTGCTCGGTTTGGCAAAACGAAAACACGGTCATTTAGCCAAGAAGTTTAACTGAAGCTTCCGGTATATCGATGATCTAATAGCGTTCAGTAACCACCATCAACTGGCCAATTCCCTTCCACTGATTTACCAACATGAACTTGAAATTAAAGAGACAAGTGAGACCGCCTCAATATTTCATATTCAGATCTCTCCACAAGACTGTATGACAAACGGGATGATTTCAACTTTTATTCAACGATTTCGAAAATGAACATTCTGACAGCAACTCACCTCAAACACTACACCTAAGGCCATGAGAACGTACAGGATGATCTTCTCAACCACAAGAGCTGGGCTGATGCTCTTGTCACAGATATTTTCGTTGATTGCCTGTGATTCAGTTTCGGTGCTAAAAGAGAAGACATCTGGGACGATGATTACACAATGCCATTTAGAAAGTGGTCAAATGCAACATATGGTATATTTGGGATTACACTTTCTCAGTAAAGTACAAATTCTAGTACTTTTTGGGTTGAGTCTGTAACGAGAGTGTTTGGTTTTTATTGTAATTTGTAATATCATTGTTTGAGTGATAGTTATTATGGGTTACAATGTTTATAGTTTCGCGTGTGGGTTTTGGCTCACATCTCGCATCATGTATGTTCTATGGCTGTAGTATTTGTAGCGGTACGCACTTTGAGACAGCGCTCCAGAGTTGCCTCCCTTGGCTTTATTTTGTTTTGACTCCCGTCGTATGTTCGAGAAAATAGTGGATAGTGATGCAGAGTCAGGCACGTAATCGCCAGGGCACAAAGTCAGCCGCCTAACCCACTCAACCACCGAACCTTCCACAAACATGGAAGTCGGACAACTGGTAGTCTAGACTGCGGACTTTGTGTACCCCTGTGATAAGTGTAAATTGGCACGGCTCCTACGGCCGAAAGCTATGATTACACAATGCCATTTAGAAAGTGGTCAAATGTAACATATGTCATATTTGGGATTACACTTTCTCAGTGTGTGCTGCTGGTGATTAGGTGCCTGACTCTGAGGGTGTGGGTTCGAATCCCGGATGGGACTCAACCCAAAAAGTACTAGAATTTGTACTTTACTGAAAAAGTGTAATCCCAAATATAACATATACTGGACAAAATAAGTTAGTGATATTGGTATTTTTATGATTTATATTTTATCAGTATATCAATGAATAAATAGATCATCTGTGATGCAGCTGGGATCTAAGTCTTAGTACACAGGAAGGCCGGGGGTGGAGCAGGATGGGGCTATTGTCGGCCTCTGCCATAAACATGAAAGGGCAAACCAGAGAATAATCTATTTTGATTATCCATCGGGACCCATTCCATTGACCTTAAAATGAAAGTAGCATTATATGAGTGGATCACTGATTGCCACTATTGTGTGCAGTCTCGGTATCACATCCACTCACACCACTTCAATATACAGTAAAGTGTTTGTAAGTATATTGTAAGGTTACTGTTACATTTAGAGTGAAGCGCTGATTGAATCGACTGAGCATGTGTGTAGAAACACAGTGAGTAATATCATGAGCAAACAATTTCTGACATACAGTCACCGATCGCCAAACATTTAGCCTCCAGTCTGCCAAGGACCTAAACTCAGAATAATACGGTTATTGATGTCTTAGGTTACCCCTTTTCAAGTGAGTGAGTGAGTTTAGTTTTACGCTACACTCAACAGTTTGAAGAATGAGGTCTATATTTATGGATATACAACTTCTGTATTCTATATAGGTGACGTTTCGACATAGATTCTAATGTCGTTGTCAAGAATCTATGTAGAACTGCGCCTATATAGAATAAAGAAGTTGTATATCCATAAAAATAGTCCTCATTCTTCATCTACCCAACTTCTAGAATGCCAATCAAAGAACTCAGCAGTGTTCCAGCTATATGGCGGCGGTCTGTAAATAATCCAGTCTGGACCAGACAATCCAGTGATTACCAGCATGAGCATCGATCTGCGCAATTGAGAGCCGATGACACATGTCAACCAGGTCAGCGAGCCTGACCCGTTAGTCGCCTCTTACGACAAGCATGGTTTACTGGAGGCACCTTCTAACCCGGATCTTCTCGGGTACATTTTTAAGAACCACCAAACAAAAAACAGTAGTGTTTAAACATACTTGTATTGATATTTAGATGAGCCCTGTGCATATTCCATGTAAAACATTAGGAATCATTCATCATAGGTTAGGTGTAGAAGTAATAAACCTACAAGTTGCGGGGATGGGTAGACTGGAGCATGTATCTGGTGACCATGGAGACGAAGATAAGATGGACGATGAAGTTAAGCAGATAGTAGTAGGCCCCAAAATGCCACCACTTCCTCTTGATGAGTTTGCTGACCAAAGGATGCTGCAGCAGCTCGTCCCTGTTACACTCCACCTGTGATATAAAGATATATCGGCTATAAATATGTAGTTAGTTTTACGCCGCACTCAACAATATTCCAGCTATATGGCGGCGGTCTGTAAATAATCGAGTCTGGACAAGTCAATCCAGTGATCAACAACATGACTGTCGATCTGTGCAATTGGGAACCGATGACATGGGTTCATCCTAACCCGGACCTTCACGGGTTCGTTATATATGTAGTACACCTGTGATATAAATAAATATGGTACATCTGTGATATATATATATATAGTACATCTGTGATATAAATATATATAGTACATCTGTGATATAAATGTATATGTAGTACACTTATGATATAAATATATATGGTAAATCTGTTATATAAATATATACAGTACATCTGTGATATAAATATATATAGTACATCTGTGACATAGATATATATGTAGTACACCTGTGATATAAATATATATGGTACATCTGTGATATGAATATATATAATACATCTGTGATATAAATATATTTAGTACATCTGTGATATAAATATATATAGTACATCTGTGATATAAATATATATGTAGTACACCTGTGATATAAATATATATGGTACATCTGTGATATAAATATATATAGTACATCTGTGATATCAATATATACAGTACATCTGTGATATATATATATATATATAGTACATCTGTGATATAAATATATATATAGTACATCTGTGATATAAATATATATGGTACATCTATGATATAAATATATATAGTACATCTGTGATATAAATATATATAGCACATCTGTGATATAAATATATATAGTACATCTGTGATATAAATATATATATAACATCTGTGATATAAATATATATGTAGTACACCTGTGATATAAATATATATGGTACGTCTGTGATATAAATATATATAGTACATCTGTGATATAAATATATATAGTACATCTGTGATATAAATATATATAGTACATCTGTGATATAGATATATATGTAGTACACCTTTGATATACATATATATAGTATATCTGTGATATAAATATATATAGTACATCTGTGATATAAATATATATAGTACATCTGTGATATAAATATATATGTAGTACACCTGTGATATAAATATATATGGTACGTCTGTGATATAAATATATAGAGTACATCTGTGATATAAATATATACAGTACATCTGTGATATAAATATATATAGTACATCTGTGATATAGATTTATATGTAGTACACCTGTGATATAAATATATATAGTACATCTGTGATATAAATATATATAGTACATCTGTGATATATATATATATAGTACATCTGTGATATAAATATATATAGTACATCTGTGATATAGATATATTTGTAGTACACCTGTGATATACATATATATAGTATATCTGTGATATAAATATATATAGTACATCTGTGATATAAATATATATAGTACATCTGTGATATAAATATATATAGTACATCTGTGACTTAAACGTGAGCGTGAGCGTGTTCTGCCTTTCAATGTGACGTTCCCCTTAACTCACTTACCTCTATTCTGGTAACATGACGCCATTCACAGATATTCTGGTAATATGACGTTCCCCACCTACTCGGCTATTCCGTTAATGTGACGTTCCTTATCAGTTCAGAGCATATGTTCAGCAGAATATTCTACAGAAATCACTGAAATGCTTTAACTGACAGCTGCATTACCATGATCGACAGTGGGTGGTTCCTTTTGATGACGCTGGCCTTCTCTGTGTATGGAACTGTTTGGTTTTCTAGGTTCCCCTTATCAGATTTCTTCTTCTTTTTTTCTGATGGAAAGAATCATAATAGTACCTGGTTTTTAAACACAAGTTAGATAATTGCATCAGTGAATTGAAATATGAAATTCCACAGTTGACTTTGCTTAATTTGTATAAATATTTTGAGTTCTACTGAAAGTGCATTGAAAGTAAAATAATCTCTTCCTATGTGATCTTTATGGATTTCTTTCATAATATACTGAACCGCAAAAGAAATGCAAGTCAAAATCCAGATTTTGAAAAACTTTACTTTTGACAGATTATACATGAAAACAGGTACATAATAACAATCAACACTTGTTGCATGATGATTGGGGCATGTCAGTCAATGCATGGAAACATTGTTGGTTTACTTTGCCTTGAAGACAAAATCGAAATTGATCCAACAAGTCAGTAGCGCGTATGTCCACCTCGTGCATTCACTACACCTATGAACCGCCTGAACATGGAGTGAATCAGACGGTTGACAAAGGCCCTACGGATTGCCGCACATGTCCGGATGATGGCTGCCTGGAGTTCTGCTGCAGTTGTCGAACGTTGTCGGACTTCATTCAGTCGTCTCTGCAGCTCGTCCCAAAAATGTTCGATCGGGTTTAAATCGGGACTGACAGCAGGTCATGGCAGTAGTCGGATGTTATGCTGCTGGAAAAATGCCTGAGTGACTCTAGCAGTATGGGGCCTGGCATTATCTTGCTGGAAAATGTGTTGTTGGTGTCGGACGAAAAATGGCACAACCTGGGGTCGGAGGATCTGGTCGATATAACGTTGGGCAGTGACTCCATTTCCCCGACCTGGCCCAATATTCTGGAAGAATACTGGCCCTAATCTCTGATTCAGGCCAATCGCTGCCCATACCGTAACACTCGGAACTCCCCATGCATCATCTTGCATTACACATTCGTCAGCACAGCCTTCACCTCGTCTTCGCCATATTCGAACTCGGCCGTCAGCATGAGAAATGCAAAACCGACTTTCATCAGAGAACAATACCAGTCTCCACTGTTGATGACGCCAGTTTCGATGCAACGTAGCCCACTGCAGACGATTCTGACGATGGCTCGGTGTGAGGATAGGACGTCGAACTGGACGACGACAACGGAGGTGGACTGCTCTGAGTCTGCGCCGAACTGTATCTCCGCTTATTGCTCGGTTGTGACGTCCAATAGTCTGCCGGACAGTCTCGTTGGCAGATAAGAATCGATCCCCGATGTGCGAACGTTGAATGTGTCGATCTTGCCGTGGTGTTGTGACTCTCGGACGTCCAGGACGTTGGCGGTCAGTAGTGGTCTGTGTAGCAGCAAAACGTTCCTGAAGATGGTAGATGGTCGTTATGTGCACATGGAATGCATTGGCAACATCTGCAACACTCTGTCCAGCTTCAAGACGGCCGATGGCTTGTTCCCTCTGTTGCGTCGTTAACCTTGGCATTCTTGGTGGGCGTTTGTTGGGAGTGATTTCAAACTGATTTGGAGCATTTTTATACCCCTATGTGTCCGTGACATAATGCGCATCGTGATTTTCATGACAAACTTCTGCAACCAGATCCCACGGCAAATTCAATTGCTGCGTTTTGGCGATGTGCAATATCCAAGCGAAATCACCAAACAGAACCTGAACATTAACAAACTGTTTTCTCACAACAAAGGTAACCAACGTTTAGTTACACTATAATATTTAAGAATGTTCTGTCGAATATTTATTCATTTTGAAAAACTTGCGTTTTTTATGCGGTTCAGTATATATACTTGTGTCACTGTACATCGAAATACGTCTGAGGGCGGTGAGTTAGCCTAGTGGTTAAAGCCTTCGCCCATCACACTGAAGACTCCAGTTCGATTCCCGACTTGGGTACAACATGTGAAACCCATTTCTCGTGTTCCCATATTACTGGAATATTGCTAAAAGCGGCATAAAACTAAACTGACTCACTTACTCACTAAAAGCGTTTGTTTGTGTGGCACACAGGCCGTTATTGCTGAGTTACACCAGTCACATGGAATTCATAATGACATAAAAATATTGATTCGCAATTTTTAGTTTTCACATCTAAAGATGGTCGGACACGAGGTGTCGCCGCATGTCATTGAACGTCACATAATGTACCATGTGGAAATCACGGCATGTCATTGAACGTCACATAATGTACCATGTGGAAATCACCGCATGTCATTGAACGTCACATAATGTACCATGTGGAAATCACCGCATGTCATTGAACGTCAAATAATGTACCATGTGGAAATCATCGCATGTCATTGAACGTCACATAATGTACCATGTGGAAATCATCGCATGTCATTGAACGTCACATAGTGTACCATGTGGAAATCATTGCATATTATTGAACGTCACGTAATGTACCATGTGGAAATCATCGCATGTCATTGAACGTCAAATAATGTATCATGTGGAAATCATTGCATGTCATTGCACGTCACGTAATGTACCATGTCGAAATCATCGCATGTCATTGAACGTCACATAGTGTACCATGTGGAAATCATTGCATATTATTGAACGTCACGTAATGTACCATGTCGAAATCATCGCATGTCATTGAACGTCACATAATGTACCATGTGGAAATCATCGCATGTCATTGAACGTCACATAGTGTACCATGTGGAAATCATTGCATATTATTGAACGTCACGTAATGTACCACGTCGAAATCATCGCATGTCATTGAACGTCACATAGTGTACCATGTGGAAATCATTGCATATTATTGAACGTCACGTAATGTACCATGTGGAAATCATCGCATGTCATTGAACGTCAAATAATGTATCATTTGGAAATCATCGCATGTCATTGAACGTCACATAATGTATCATTTGGAAATCACCGCATGTCATTGAACGTCAAATAATGTATCATGTGGAAATCATCGCATGTCATTGAACGTCACATAATGTACCATGTGGAAAACATCGCATGTCATTGAACGTCACATAGTGTACCATGTGGAAATCATTGCATATTATTGAACGTCACGTAATGTACCATGTGAAAATCACCGCATGTCATTGAACGTCACATAATGTACCATGTTGAAGTCATCGCATGTCATTGAACGTCACATAATGTACCATGTGGAAATCATCGCATGTCATTGAACGTCACATAGTGTACCATGTGGAAATCATTGCATATTATTGAACGTCACGTAATGTACAATGTGGAAATCATCGCATGTCATTGAACCTCAAAT